GCCACCAAGTCTTTGGTGCACTTCATTAGAATGAGTCACAATAATTTAATTATGTACTTACAATACTTTCCTACTTTCACATAAAACTCAAAGCCCCTTGCTGGGCACTCTGGCAGACTGAAGCAGGAAGATCCTATGTTTAAGCCCAGTCTGTACAAAATAGTGATTTAGCAAGACCCTGCCTCAAAATGAAAAGGGCTGGGTGTGTAGCCCTCATACTGAAGAAAAAAACAGCCCCTCAAAGGCAGAAACTACATCTCAGCATTACATTTCTAGAAACAATACATACATAGAACCTTGTTAATCATAGGAACGAATGAATGAATGAATGAATGAATACAATGCTATGTGACTTATAGAGCAGTCTTATTAAGATCTCACATGATGTTCCCCCAAAATCTTGTAAATTATTAAGAGCAGGCTTTATTTTCCTCTTTTTATGAATGAGAAAGCTACCTCAGAGGCTGACACAACTGCTACAGTCCGTGACAAAACCTTTTCTCATGAACTTTAATCTCAAATATCCTGCTCAGGATAGGGGTAGAACTGAGAAGACACCACCTTCACATGGGCAAAGACACCAAGACCCTCAAGTCTCTCTTCCTTACTCATTTGATGAGGACTCCAAGGCCTTCAGAGCCAGTTAGTGGCAGGACCAAGGCTTGAACTCAGGTCCCCCACCTCCAGACCAAATACATTGTCCTATTTAGCCCACAGAGCATCTCTCCACCTATCTGGATATGTCTACTTGTTTGGATACTGATACTGGCAGAGTGGTGGAGAAGGAACTCATGATAAAAGACAAGGAAAACTGGCTTCATGGCACCTGGGTCTGTGTCTCCTGTGCTGAGAGCAGAGATGACAAGCATTGGCCAGCCCAGCTGTGCCACTCATCTGAGGGATACACCTCAGACAGGTGAGAGATACACCAAACCCAGAGGGCTGAGTTTTTCTGTCTACCTGTGGCCAACAGCACTTTCTTTGACTAAAAAGGGAAAATTGTTAATCCTCTCTCCATTGCATATAAACTACATTAGCAAATACCTGTCCCAGTAACAGGAAAATCATACTCACAGTCAGTGCTCTGGCCAGGGATAACTCTCTTGTTGCATCTTTTCCACAGGGGTTTACTCTAAATATTTGCTTATGCAATACAATCATTTGACATAAATTGTCATCTGTGAAAGGCTCATCTCAACTGCAGAGTTACCTGCAGCCTCAAGTGTCCTGCTGACAGCTGGGAATGGTGAGCAATGGTGATGGCACCCAGAACTGCTCCCAGGACCCAAGAGCAGGAGGGATTTGGGTGAGGGGTGGGAGAGAAGTTGCTGCCAGTCCTTCCCCAGGAGATACCATTCTGGTAATAGGGACAGAAGGTTTACTCTTCAATGGAAAGAAATCTTGCCTGTTCCCACACATCCTGTTCAAATATCTGGCCTGTCCACAGGCTGTGCATGTACCCACATGTTCCTTTGAGACCTGATCCCTGGCTCTGGGGAAGTTTCTGGGACTGTGCTCAGGGTTTGGCCAATTTAAGAGGATTGTGCCATCTTGATCCAGCTCTTAGGGCTGTGTAACTGCCTCTGTTTTCCCCCTTATCACCCTAGATGCAGGCCATGGTCCCTTCACTTCCTTCCCCAAGAAAATGCACATATGTCAAGCCTCTGACACATCCCATCACTGAGAGTGCAGGATTCTGCCTTCCAGATCACACCCTATAAGAGACACTATGGAGGCCCCAGCCCACATACCCTTGATCCACTTCTGAGTCCACCAGAAACTGCAATACATAGTTTCCAGAACACTACAGCTTTCTACATGCACCTCTATACTTCACTGGTGAGCTTCCTCCAGGACATAAATTTTTTTTCTACCTATGTGGGGCATCCCAGAAGTGCCAGCAAGAGACAGACCTCAATTAATAAAGGTCAAGAATCTAAAAAAATATACTTCACTTTCCTCACCTCCAAATGAGACCATTTTGAGGTCTATTCATTAAAAGTCCTTATCCCTTTGATGCTGAGCCCCAGAATCCCACAGTGAAACTTCCTCACTAAAGAACCTTTGGTACCTTTTTCCCTTTTCTGCCTCTCTCCCTCTCCTCACTTGTGGCTCCTGGTTCACCTCCAGAGGAACCACGTGCACCCAAGCCTTCATCTCTAATGAGAAGCCCTTTCTCCAGGGACCTCTTCTAGCTCTAGAAATTATCTTGTTAATCAGCTGTTTCAATATCCTTCTCTGGTACTGTACATTTGGCTCACTAGAAGGCTCGACATTGTGTTTTCCCATAAGAGGTGACTCCCTCTGAAAGGAATTATAAACCAACTTTTAGAAATATAAAAGCCATATCCACCTTCATATACTTGTACACATGCTTATTTCACACGTGCCTCATAGAGCAATGTGAGGAACATGTGCTTAAACTAAATAAGGTAAATGCAAAGCAACAATAGGCACCACTTGTGCTCACCCAGCTAACACATGGCTACTGAAACTGGTGGCTAGAAGGCCTCATAGTCCATTTGTTCCATCCACTTGTTGGCCTTGGCCAAGTCACTTGCACTTCTGGTGTCTGTTTCATTATCTTCCCCACCCTACTCCTCTTTTGGTGCAGAGGGTGGGGTGGTGGGTGGGTACTAGAGATTGAACCCAGGGGCTTGGCACTAAGCTACATCCCATCCCTTTTCTACTTTTTTTTTAATTTGAGAGAGGGTCTTGCTAAGTCCTTAAACTGTCCAAACTGGGTAGAATTTAGGATCTTTCTGCTTCAGCTCTGCACAGTACTGGGATTATCGGTGATGTCACCATGCCCAGTTTGCTTGCTTGCTTTTCCTCTCTCTTTCTTCCTTCCTTTCCTTTTTCCTTTTCTTTTTTTCTTTCTTTCCTTCCTTCCTTCTTTCTTTCTTGTCTTCCTATATATTTCTTGTGCTTGGGTTTGAAGCTAGGGCCTCATTCAGGCAAAGTGTGCACTCTACCACTAAGCTATATGCCCAGCCCTCAACATCTCTTAAAAGGAGGTGGCCTAGGAGAGCTAAATGTATTGGTAGCAGAAAGAACCAGGAATGACACTGTAAGGAACAAGTGATAGCTGCTCCATTTCCTCAGCATCCTCAGCTTTCCTCGCTTGTAAAGCTAAGGAATTGATCCAGTTGGCCTCTCCTCATCCAGCTCTAAAAGCCACAGAATCTAGGTCTGCTTTCCTAACACTTGGGGACAATTACCAACAACTAAAAGAGATAATACTGAGTGATAGAGTTGATGCTATTTTCAAGTAGGGCAACCGGCCCCAATACACGTGGATAATTAAGAAGAAAAATGTTTCATTCTCTGAGATGTCCCCTATGGACATACAGAAGGACAGACTTCTGAGAGTGCCTCCTTACCAGAAACAGTGGATGGTTTCCGATGCCTCTAGAAACTTCACTGTTGAGCTCTCCACAGTGCATGATCTACATTACAAAACTGTTAATGAAGAAAGTGAAAGAGCACCTCATTCCCCAGATAACCCTATCACAGAGTATGCTGACCACTCCTGCCGAACACAGTCTGCCCTCACAGATGAAAGGTCACTGCAGAAAAGTTAAAGGCGGAAAAGCATTTTCTCAGCTTCAATACTCTTTTTTTGTAGTATAAAAGTAGTCTGTGTTCCCTGAGGCAAACTTTTAAACTATAGCACAGGGGAGATGGTCTGGTAGTGGGCCCAAGAACAGACCCTGGGACACGCACCTGATGGGAAAATCCTTTCATCTCCCAAAGCCACACATTCCTCACTTGTAAAATGGCAGCAATGACAGTATCTTGCAGAGAAAGACAGAGGATCAAATGGACTATGCATGCCAGTATTTGACACATGGTAGTCACTTCTTTCGACTTTAGAAAGGTGCAGTGGTTAGTAGCTCAGTGCCCAGGTGCTGCAGCCTGGATGTACAGTATGGTTCAGCCTCCAGCTACCATTTGCAGATTATAAGATCTACAGCACGTCTATGCCTCCATGTTCTGACCTGTACAATGAGGATAATAATCACTGTTTCACCCTGGACTTGGTGAGGGTTGTGATGGTTAATGTTAGGACTCAACTTGACTGGATTAAGGGATGCCTAGAAACCTAGGAAAGCATTATTTGGAGTGTTTCCAGAGGTGATCAGCATGGGAGCCTATCAGCTACCTCTGTAGAGGACCCTGATCTCCTGCTTTGTGCTACAACACAAGATGAGGAATAAGACTCAGAGACAGAGTTAAAGAAAAAGAGATGGGGAAATGGGATGGCCAGTGCTGAGCAAGAAGCAAAGACCCTGATCAGCCAGAAACACTGATATTTATTGGTGACACAATCACTGTTAAATTGGGGTGAGAGGACTACATGTGGTTGTTAGAGGTAAGTTGCTGACACAGGCAAGGCTTGTAAAAGAAGAGACAAAGCATTTGGGTGTGAGGAACATAACAGACTAGATATAGGTTGTAATTAACAACCTTGTCTTTTTAGTTAAGAAGGTTTCAATTCTGCAAACAGAATTTGTGCAAGTCACCCTGACCTTCACAGCCATGTTACCTCATATTAAGCCTCACAGTTTCATGCGCTATTCTCTGGCCTCTGCTGTGGGCCACTGGCAGAGAGGGAATGGTAAACTGCACACCATCCACAGTGCTCTGAGTCAGGATTCAGTCAGACTCACTTCTTAAAACAAACCAATTATGGGGTTAATTTTGTACAGCCTACACTGTTTATAGCTCTCTTTGGGTATAATCAACTGGGTGGTCTGCCACAGGAGTCTGCATGGACTGAATGTAAGAAGACCCACTGTCAATGTGGGCAGCATCACCCAGTCAGACAAGGGTTCAGACAGAACAAATTCAGAAGACTTTGTTGTCAGGCCTGCCCATGACACCCATCTGGGGCACATTCATCTCCTACCTTGAACTTCAAAAAGTCCAGGCTCTTTGCCTTTGGATCTCCAGGACTAATACCAGCAGCTCTTCCTGTAGATCCTCAGGGTTTGGGCCAGAGCCTATTATAGTACCTTGCACATTGTAAATATAAAATCAGTGTTTTACTTTCACTGCCTCCTCCCTCATCCACCATGTGTCCTCTAGGCAAAAACTCCTAGTGCCCTTCGTTGCAATTCAGCAAGTGTGGACTCCATTCATTCATGCCTCTTTACATAGTTTCCAGTCCTGGCAAAGGGCTGTGGGTTGAATGAGTGGACCACAAATTATGGTCCATTTTGGACACCATGTATTTAGACGCAGGTTGAACTGGGCTAGTGGCGTGTCCTACCCAAAATACTGTGACTTTGCTGAGAAACATGACAGTTGGTCCCATTACCATTACCTGGGTTAGGAAGCACCAGCCCAGAAGCTATGTCCAGAATCTTCAGATAAAACCAGAGTGAGCCTCAGTCCAAAGATGTCTACACCTAGAAAGGCCAAAGGAAAATGAAAATTGCCATTGAAGCTACTTGACACCACACAAAAAATACACACACACACACAAAGAAATCAAACTAAAGAATTTTTGAATGACTTCAACAATAATTATGCTTTTTGTTGAAAGCAAGAGGCTGCCCTGTATAATCTAAGAGCACTGGATATCCTCTAGGAAAACTCAAGTTCTGCTACATTTCCTTAGAGGAAAATGGGATAGATAATATTGTCCACACTATTTCTTTGCTCATTTATTATAAAGATCACAATAAGATATGAACCTGAAAATCCTGGAAACTGTATATGCCTGTATACATTTAAGAAAGATAAAAAGAAGTTTCATAAAAGGGAAACTATTTAAAAAAAGGGATCAGAGGAAGAAGGGAAAAGGGTGGGGAAGTGAGGATGTTATCAAAGTATGTTGTGGGCATATATTAAACTGTAAGACTGAAACTCACTATCCTGTATAATTATGATGAGCTAATAAAAATTTACTTTATGCTTCTTTTTAGCCATAGATAAAGGACACCTTTGCGCCTTCCAGGACTGTTATTAGCTATATGAGGATTCTTATTGTATACGTACCTCTTACTATAGGGTCTGGCAAGTGTAGGTGCTTCATAAATATTTGATAATTAAAGAATTAACAAAAAATAATTAAAAAAAAGAATTCACAGCTACTACCAGCATTTCCACTTTCTTAATCTTTAGGTATTAAGGAAATGTTTCCTGAAGTGAAAGGGGGGAAAGAGCACTATTCATGGAATTCTAAACACACAGGTTCAAATCTAGACTCAGTCACTTAATAGCTATCTCATCATGAGCCCTTATTTTGCCAAATTGCTGGGAAGGACAGTAATGAGATAACATGTACAAATCTTAGTAGTTATGATTATATCCAATGTTTTTCTCAACTGAAGAAAAGTCAGAACCTATAGATTTTTTTTAAAAAATTATTTGTAGTTTTTGGTGTCAGTTTTTGAGACCTGTGGAGAGAGGGTGAGGCATGGAGACAAGACCAACTCCGGGGGGATTTCAGAAAATCACTTCTGCTTTATTGTGTCATGTCACAGGATATATAGCATGTATCTAATTTGCATGGGGGAGGAGATGAACAAAGATACGGGTGGCATACGGAGATTGGCAGAGCGCAGAGAGTCATCAGTTGTTAGGGAACTAGAGGGCACCAGGAGCGTGGCCAAGGAGGCTCTCCACACATCGGTTCAGGCAGCCTGCATGCCTTTTTAGTGTTCTATAGATTGCTGCTGGATTTTGGTGTGGCGTACCTTGCTCAGCCAGGCTTCTGGAGCACCCGTAGTTCCCCCTTTTCCCTCTGATTTGAGGGCCTTAGCCAATAGTACTGTATTCATATATGCTGTTGAAGCTTGAGATCTTACATGACGAATCTAATTATAACCCACAAAACAATCAGGGCAACAGCAATAGAAACATAGGGGAATCCTAATAGGACATTTTTACCCAATTTGAGAGGGCATCCCATCCCTTAGCAACCCCAATCCATAGTGTCCCAGGTTTGGGTCAGATCAATCACACTGAGTGTTTGAGTCTCACTAACACAAAGAACATCCTGAGTTAATTCCCTTAATCTTGTCCTAAACCCATTATCCCAAGTTTTCCAAATAGAATTGCTAAGGTTAGCATATCTATCTCTAGGTGCTCTAAAGGGCATATCACAAATGGAGGAGAAATTTGCATGGCAGCGAGTAGCCAATTTTGTCTCTAGGAGTAAGATATCTTCTTGGAGCATATCCAGCTGTGTCTGCAGAGTTAAGATCGCAAGGCAAACATCCTCAAACAGCCCAGAACTATGGTGGAGAGCCAAAGAAGTATTTTTTGCAAGGGCATTAACAGTGGTGGCAGTGGCGACCTGATTAGCCATGGTGGTGGCGGCAATAGCTGATATTCCTAAATCACAGCGGGGCCTGATGTAGCATTAGATCGAAGAGGGGATCAGCACTGAGTCATTCTTATTTAAGCTCAGTCAGCAGCCAGATCACCAGAGGAGTCCGGCTGATATAAATTTACCAAAAAGCATAATGATTGATTAAATCAGGGGAGACGCAGGAAACCAACCGGATGGAGGTGTTTTGCTGGAGTGGTGTCTCTGTCACGACAAAAAAGAACGGGGTGGAACTGCAGGCGATGAAGGGCAGTAGAGTGGCATTAGGATGTCAGATGGTGTGAATGATGTGGTTGCATTAAATGAAGCATTAGCTCCCAGCGCAAGGAAGAGAAGGGACCACTCTGTCGGTTTTTGGAATCCTATTAAGTGGAACTGAGGGGCTCCAAACATAGTTTGGGAGAAATCCACAGGAGATGTATGTGCCGGGAAGGGGAGGCTGGTATACTTCTTGTGGGGAAGACATATTGATGCCCTTCAGTGGAGACCAACTCATCATCACTCCAGCAAAGATCTGTAGGGGGGCAACGGTTCTACAAAAATCAAAAGGCAGGGAGTGGAGGGGAATATTGACAGGAGGGGTCCTTGATATCTGCAAATAAGTAAGGGAGGTGGGGGGCTAGGAAGTGTCTTATTGGGGGTTTGGGATCGGGCATCAATCCAGGTGAGAAGTCTGTTTAGAGTAGCGGCTTCTGTTTTTGCTCTGTACACACAGAAGGAAGCAGAGGCATTATTTGTAAAACAAACAGAAGGGACAGAGGTCAGGGTGGTATTCCAAATCGATCGAACAACAGCTAGGGAAGCATCTCCTGTAATAGATGTGGGATGAAGCAGGGTATTATTTCCAAAGACTTGGGGTAAGGTACTGTTCCAATCAATTGTAACAAAGATGGGGGGGTCTGGGATTAAAGACCATACCGTCTCTGTGGTGCTATTGGCAGTTAACACAGCACAGATCGAGACCACCAGCATTGGGCCTGGAATAGGGTTGGGGGTTCCCCGAGGGGCCATCCTCAAGGCTTGGAGAACCAGGCTTTTGATGGCACCCCAAGTGACACACTGGGGGCTGGATTTTGGGGTCTGGCATTGCTTGCATCAGCGGAGTGAAGGATCCTCTCCTCTCAGGGACAGCTTAGCCATCTGGGGTGTCAGCGGTGAGATGGGGTCTGACATTGCATGTGGGGACCCAAATCAGTTGGAGGGAATCCTGTGGAAAGATACACGAGAAACCTCCCCCAACAGTGCCTAGAGGATAGGGGCCTGACCACTGTTTTGTAATGGGGTTCCTCCAGTTTACTATGGGGTGTTGTTGAGCATCCTTAAGGGGCCCCCAGTGTCTAAGAGCTGGAAACCGGCTATTTTTATAAAGGGTTAGAAAATCGAGAGTAAAGAGGGTTAGGTTTAATCTTTCATGTGGGGTAGGAGCCAGGGCTGAGTGTGCCTGTTTTTGTAAGATCTCCTTAAGCATTTTGCGAAAGTGCTCCACTATCCCTTGGGCCTATGGATTATAGGGAATGCCAGTACAATGTTCAATTTTCCAATGAGAGCAGAACTGTTTAAATTTTCTGGAGCTGTAGGCCAGGCCATTATCTGTCTTTAGAGAAACATCAGAAAAGATGAGACATAACATCGTGGGTGTTTTCTCCCATCTGTGCAGTGGCACACGCAAGGGCAGAGTAAGTGTCAATTGTGACATGTACATATTTGAGTTTGCTGAAAGAGGATATGTGAGTCACTTCTACCAGCCATAGGCCACTTCCCTTGAGTCTGCATGGACTGACCCCTGGGTGTTATAGGGGTCCCAAAGGTAATAGTGGTCCACAAGAGGCACAGGTGCGTACAATCTGTTTTGTTTGTTGGAGAGATAAGGATGGGAACAATTTGTGGAGGCTCTAAGTGGATTGGTGAAAGACCTTGTGTAGCTGGAACACCTCTTGTAGAGGAGTGGCCCTCTAGGAGGAGACCACCCTATCAATAATCCCATTGCCCTTGGCCATAGGTCCCGGCAATCCAGAGTGGGATCTGATGTGTTGAACATATAAAGGGTGTCTTCCTGCCTGTAATAGCTGTTGTGTTTTAAGTAAAAGTGCATCTAATGGGCATTCTGGCCAGATCTTTAGAATTGCCCTGTAAAGTACTGAAACACAGATGGGACTTGGGCAATGGCTTGTGTTTGGACCAGGTTTACAAAAATCTATTGGCAACAAAGACAGGCCCTTTAGGAGTGGATGTTTGGGATAGTGACTGCCAATGGCACCTGGGAAGCCTGCAACCACAGAAGCGAAATTCAGATCAGAGGACAGTAGGTGGGGGATATTTTCTTAGTTTAAAGGAACAATGAGGGCGGAAGGTTCCTGTCCAAACACCTGAAGTGCTCTTTTGTGATTATCAACATGCTGATGATGGACAAAAGGTTGGTGACCTTTTTGTTTGTATAGGAGGAGGCCCAAGGAAGCCACTCAATGGGACCCTGACTTTGCCAGAGGCAAGCAAGTGGGGCTCCCAGAAAGTGATGTAAAATTAGACCAATGAGAGGTGATTTGGGGTTATATCTATGAAGCACAGCATTGTGGAGGGCAGCATTAACCATACGGAGAGCCTGTATAGCTCCAGGAGTAAGGGTGTGAATGGAGCAGTGGTCCATATCACTAAGAAGGTCAAACAGGAGGGTTAAAGTAGCAGTGGGGATCTGTAACCATGAGCATACCCAATTAAGCTGTCCTAGGATCTGTTGGAGCCATGCAAGGGAGACGGTTGGAATAGTTGGGATGACTGTGGAGACCTCGGAGAGTGATATTTTAAGCCCTAAAAACGACATGGGTAGGAGTCTCTGGATCTTAACTGGGTGGACAGTAAAGCCAGCAATCTTTAGGGCAGCAATCATCTTCTCAACAAAGACTTCGAGGTCAGTGGGATTGGGGGAAGCTAATAATAAATCATCCATATACATATAGAGTTTGTGAGAAGGGGAAAGATTAATATTGGCAAGTGATGAGGAAAGAATCAACTGGCAGATCGCAGGGCTATTTTTCATCCCTTGTGGAAGGACTTTCCACTGAAAGTGTGGGAAGGGTCTCTTATTATTAAGAGTGGGGACTGAGAAAGCAAACCTATATCTATCCACAGGGTGCAATGGGACAGCAAAGAAACAATCTTTAATATCGATGCAAGCGATATGCATGGAAACAGAGATAGCAGATAGGAGGAAAATCCCTGCCTGAGGCACACCCAAGTCCGTCATAGATGAATTTACAGCTCATGGATCATGGAGGAGGCGGAATGACTTCCCTTCTTTTTTTTAGGATGACAAAGACAGGGGTATTCCATGGGCTTGTGGAAGGTTCAATATGTCCTGCACTCGATTGTTGCTCTACTAACTGTTGCAGGGTTTGTAATTGACAGAAGACAGAGGCCACTGTTCTACCCAGATGGGAGTATCAGAGAGCCATTGAAGCTGGATAGGCAAACTGAGGGATAAAACAGCGGCCCTTAGAATTGGGGGGGTGGCTTGTTGTATAGGAGGTCCTCACAGAATGCTGTCATCTGATTTGATGATGGCATCCATCTGCTCTAGAAGGTCTAGTCCCAATAGGTTATTGGAGAGATCAGGCATAATCAAGGGGAAAAACGTCCCTTGATGGCCATCAGGATGGGGCCAAGGTATCAGCTTTTGAGTGGTTTTAGATGGGTGTTTGCCTCTGACTACCAGAATTGGCGGGCCATTAATCAGGGGCCAGTCAGGGGGAACCTCCTCCTCATGGATGATCATGCGATCTGCACCAGTGTCAATGAGCATGCAGAATTTACGGCCGGGACAGAACAATGTTAGCCATGGCTTAAATGTGTCAACGGGAGTGGTCCAATTGACAGTACATGGACCAGAATTATCTAAGTCCAAATGATTGGAGGTACCAACTGGACTTCCTTGGGTTGGGGCTGGGAGATGCCCCCTTTGGAGTTTAAAGGCTGTAAAAGGAGTAACAGGGTACCATCTTTGTGATATTTGGATTTGGAGTCTTTTTCCAATGATAGCCCTTCTCACATCTAGGGCAAGGAGTGCTTGGTAATGAGTGCCTGTTACCAGGAGGTAAATTTTGTGGGGCAGTGGAAGGGGAGGCCCGTCTAACATGTCCAAGCTTATTGCATCCCCAAAACACAGGGGCCACAGGAGGGACATGGGATGGAGGGCTGTTGCTGCAGCAAAAGCACCAGCAAGGGCAGTGGTTAGGGTTTTGGTATTATAGTCCAATGTGCCAAGGTCTTTGGTGACCAGTACCCAGTCATCGAGCAGCTTATTGTTTAGAGGGGTTATGAGTGATCACAGCACAGAGTGACAGCCCTCAAAGATAAGCTCTCTAGTGAGCACATCTCGAGCCTCCAGCAACTCAACTTTAGGAGTCATCTGCCTCCGTCACTCACTGGCAAGAGTCTGGGAAGGATTCATCTGTCTTTTGTATCAGCTTTTTTATTTTTTATTTTTTTTGTTTTTTGTTTTTTTGGTACCAGGGATTGAACTCGGGTCCTTGCACTTGCAAGGCAGGCCACCGAACCGCTGAGCTAAATCCCCAGCCCTATTGTATCAGCTTTTTTATTTTTTATTTTTTTTGTTTTTTGTTTTTTTGGTACCAGGGATTGAACTCGGGTCCTTGCACTTGCAAGGCAGGCCACCGAACCGCTGAGCTAAATCCCCAGCCCTATTGTATCAGCTTTTTTAGAATGGGCCTGGAAGAGACTGGCAATTTGTGCCAAGCCATGACAGCACACTGGTGGACTTGATCAAAATAAGGTTGAATACCAGCAGCTTCTACAACAGCAGCAGTGAATGGCCCGGTCCCTTGGAGAGCATCAAGCAAAATCACGATGTTATTGGTGCCATTACATTTGCGTGTTGTTCATATTGTTCTTTAAATAAGGCCTTAAGGAGAAAAAATGAGAACCAAGACCTATCATATAAAGGTACAAGATCCCAAAGATGAATGTAACAGTACTGTATACCTAAAATGTACCAATAAACTCAGTGAGAAAAATAAATAAATAAGGCCTTAAATAGCAGAAAATCTCCAGGGGCAAGACAGGTGAGAGACAAATCAAGCCAGTCCTGAGGACAATTAAAGGAGAAGGCAAAGTCATCTAGCAACTGTAGGACATATGGGCTGTGAGGACCGTGTTCTGTGACTGCCTCACGAAAATCCTTCCAAATCTTAGGGGAGTGGGGATACCAGGGCAATGAATTTTGGACTGTTTGCTGTGGGTTTGCAGGGAAGGCCCTGACTCCCGCGAGGTGTCCTTGGAGGTTGGTCTTGGAGGCATAACTGGATACACAATCAGGAGGGGGTCTCATCTTCTCTATCCAAACCCTGGCTAGAGTCCAAGTCTGAATCATCACCCTTCTGGGAGTGGTAAGATGGAGGCACCCCATATGGGGGCAGATGACGCATATCCTCCTCAGAAGAGGCAGGCACCGGAGGGGGAGGTCGGGAAGATGTCAACTTCCCTTTTTGAGGTGGTTTTGGGGAGGGACTTTGGTGACCTCACCGGAATCAGGAAGCTTGTCCCTCCGGCTGGGCAGAGGGCTCACAGGGGGAAGAATGCGGAAATGGAGATGCCTCTGCTATCTTTTCTGGGGAGCACAAGGTGTCACCATCTTGGGGATCAGGATTTGGTGGGGCATCAGCCACGAGGGCCCGAGATCTGTTCTTTTCTGGCCCACCAAAGCAATGTACAAGGGCGGTAACAATAGGAAAAAAGCACAGAGGAAGCTGAACCTCACCACGAATCTTGGCTCGTTAGGGGTTATTTGTGACGCTATCCCAAATATCTTTATCAAAACTATGGGCTGCTTTGATCCATGGGGATGTGGCTACAACAGCATCCCAGAAGTGATGAGCCTGACTGCTAGACAGGTGGAGGCCTCCGGATTGCAAAAGCTCTTGGAGGAGCTTGAGTTGTGACTCTCGCTGATGAGAGGAAAGATTCCCCATCCTGGTAATCGGGTTCACTCACCTGTCAGAAACACTGTGGATTGCCCTCCAGCAGGCTCACGTTAGGCACCAGATGTAGTTTTTGGTGTCAGTTTTTGAGACCTGTGGAGAGAGGGTGAGGCATGGAGACAAGACCAACTCCAGGCAGGATTTCAGAGAATCACTTCCGCTTTATTGTGTCACGTTACGGGATATAGAGCGTGGGCCTAGTTTGCATGGGGGAGGAGATGAACAGAGAAGATATGGGTGGCATACAGAGACTGGCTGAGTCCAGAGAGTCATCAGTTGTTAGGGAACTAGAGGGCGCAAGGAGCGTGGCCAAGGAGGCGCTCTACACACTGGTTCAGGCAGCTTGCATGCCTTTTTGGTGACCTGTAGTTTGCTACTGGACTTTAGTGTGGCGCACCTTGCTCAGCCAGACTTCTGGAGCGCCCATAGTAATGATTCCAATTTTATGAGTGCAAAGCTAAAGCCAAGCTGTTAAGCTAACTTGCCATAGCTACAAAGTCTCTCCTATGAGCCCTCTGTCTGTGGCAGCCCGGTGTCAGGGAGATATCACAGCACACACAGAGGCCCTCAGAGGCCTGTGCCTACTCTCTCCCCAACAGTGCTCCCCAACACTTCCTGCTGCCTCTATTTTATGGATTACAACTGTGAGGCTCTTGTGTGGTTCTTATTTGGGATCTTCTGATCTGCAGTTTTCTTTATAGATATTTGTACCCTGATAAAAGAAGTTTCAAATGTTTGTGATAGAATAAAAAAACCACAAAGTGTGACAATTATCCTTTTTTAAAAATTCAACATTTTAATTACCATAATACCCATCTGCCTTTTTTTTTTTTTTTTTTTTTTTTTTTTTTTTTATAA